ACACACACACACACACACACACACACACACACACACACACTGCAGCATCTGCTGAGTCACAGTGAGAGTGGACATAAACACACAATAGAGCGTCTGTGCAGGAGCTCAGAGTCACACGGACTTTAGAGAAACAGCATCACGCTCTTGTGTAAACAGTGTGAAAACACTTCAGCAAATGATAGCGTGACCTCTGACCCCTGCACCTGCAGTGACCTCTCACCTCTGCCCCCGAGTAGCGCTCCGTCCGGGTCACCAGGTCCCCCAGGTGCACGCTGGGATGGATGGGCATGCTCCGGAGCTGCAGCGTGAAGATCTCCCTGCGAGTGTCTGCATCCGGCAGCGGGACGAATATGATGCGGTCCAGACGCCCCGGACGCATCAGAGCCTGAGACACACACACACAGACACACGAGCAATATGAATTCTGCTCACCACGGCTGCATTTATTTAATCAAAAATACAGTAAAAATTGTGAAATATTATTAAAATTTAAAACAGCTGTTTTCTATGTGAATATCTGTTAAACTGTAATTTATTTCTGTGATCAAAGCTGTATTTTCAGCATCATTACTCCAGTCTTCAGTGTCACATGATCTTCAGAAATCATTCTAATATGCTGATTTGCTGCTCAAGAAACATTTCTGATTATTATCAATGTTGAAAACAGTCGTGCTGCACAATATTTTTGTGGAAACTGTGATGCATTTTATTTTTCAGGATTCACAGATGAATAGAAAATTCAGAAGAACAGCATTTATTTGAAATAGAAATCTTTTGTAACATTATACATGCCTTTACTGTCACTTTCGATCAAATTTAATGTGTCCTTGATTAATAAAAGCATACATTTATTTAATTTTATTTAAAACAGTGTTTCCAATTTTTTAATGGTATGTCATTACAAATAATATATATTTTTTAAATAAATACTTATACTCACATTATTCAATTGAAATGAGCAGTTTTTTTCATGTTAACAAAGTAAAATCATTAAAAAAAAATTGTTAATTGAAATAAATCTGACATAAAATATAAATATGAAAAACTTACTAAAAACACTAAAAATGAAAATTAGAAATAAAATAAATAAAATAAATGAAGTTAAAATACAAAAATTATTAAAACTAAAAGAATATAAATTAAAAATAAATGTAAAAATGTTAATTTTATTATTTATTTTATACAAAATTTAAGCTTAAATGAAAATGAAACTGAAATTTTTTTTTTTTTAAATGTAATTAAAAATATTTATAAATACTATAGTAGTAAATAAATAACAGTAAAATATCACTGGAAACGAGGCATCAAAGCATTATACTATACAGTAGAAAAACTATTTAATAGTAACTTGTCTAAAATATTATACACGTTTGAACTGGAGATAATAAACAGAACTGATATTATCTTCCAGGCCGATATGATAAATTATAAATCGCTCATTATGGCCGATACTGATATGATCTGGATATATGGTACAGCTCGATTTGTTTGTGCAGTAAAACCTCCTGAGAGGAAGTTTAACAGCAGTTACACACACAACAGATGATGAGGAACAGACCAAAACAGCAGCTGAACTCGTCTGATAAACAACACACTGAATCAACAGAGAGCAGCCAGACAGAGAAAACAACTCCAGGAAGTCATCGCTGCACGTCTGTGACCCTGCAGCACATTGCTTCCTTATATCCCTTAGGAAGAGACCAAACGTGGCACGGGGAGAAGACTGAACGTGTGTGTGTTGTGTGTGTGTGTGTGTGTGTCTGTGTGTGTGTGTCTGTGTGTGTGTCTGTGTGTGTGTGAGTGTGT